AGTCTTCAGCTTTTATAATGGGAGTGTTGTAATTTTTTAAGGGACTTTATAATACTCCATAATTAAAACATTTTAGTTGTTTCTCGGGTTTTGCTTTTATCCACAACGCTGTACTCCTAGGACATGTTCTTATCTGCTTAGATTATTAGATTACAAATCCAGCAGAGGTATCAGCTCATCACTTAGGCCCCAGAGGGCAGTTGAAAGATTATTTGTTGAGGTAGAAAAGGCTTTAAAATGTGTATAGTTGTTTATTAGAACACTTGCTTAAAATTTTATACCTTTGCACACAGTCCCAAAACTCCTCTCTAATTACAGTGTTGGACTGCCCTCCTTGAAGGCTCTCCAGGAGACCTATTTACCCCCTTGACTGCTGCAGACAGGTCACTTGCGCTCAGCACCTGTAGCGCTTATTAGCATTAGTACTTGGTATACAGTAGGTACCAACTAAATATTTTTTAAATGCACCCGTTTTGCCACATCTTTACTAGCTCAGGACATTATCACACTTCTTAACCTTTATCAATCAGGTATATTAAATATTTTCCTCTTTTTTAATTGTTAATTTTTTTGTTATTAAAATTACACATATCTATCCTGTGTGAATTTGTTTACCAAGTCTGGGATTTGTGTTAAGTATATTGGGTCTTTTGCAGTTTAGAAAATGTTTATTTTTAGGTAGTATATCTGTCAGTCTGTTTACACTTCAGTTCAGTTCAGTCACTCAGTTGTGTCTGGCTCTTCGTGACCGCATGGACCACAGCATGCCAGGGCTTCCTGTCCATCACCAACTCTCGGAGTCTACTCAAACTCCATGTCCATTAAGTCGGTGATGCCATCCAGCCATCTCATCCTCTGTCGTCCCCTTGTCCTCCTGCCCTCAATCTTTCCCAGCATCAGGGTCTCTTCGCATCAGGTGGCCAAAGTATTGGAGTTTCAGCTTCAGCATCAGTCCTTCCAATGAACACCCAGGACTGATCTCCGTTAGGATGGACTGGTTGGATCTCCTTGCAGTCCCAGGGACTCTCAAGAGTCTTCTCCAACACCACAGTTCAAAAGCATCAATTCTTTCACTTAAGTTTTCTAAATTCTGTTAATCTGCCCTTTCTCCATTCATTTGAAATGCTACTTTTACCACATATAAAATTTCCACATATAAATGAAGCAAATTTGGGACTTCAATTTCTGTTTTGTCAGTTTTTTTGTCTGCATCTTAGCCAATGTCACATGAATTCAATCCCGTTAGCTATCTAATAATTGTGAAACCTGGGGGTCTAAAGTTCCTCTCTTTCCCCATTATTCCTTTATTTTTTTCAAAATTTTCTCAGCTGTTCTCTGTATTTACTTTTCCAGATACTCTTTAGAGTCAAATTTATTTGTTTCCTGCTAAATTCTTTGATATGAACTGGCATAACAGATCTGGCTTTAATATTTTTCTTTTTGTTTTCGACCAAAGTTTTATATTCTTAATTTTCCTTTACTGTTAAGTTTCAAATTGAGGTCAACTTATTCCCTAACATTCATCATCTTTTTTTTGATATGTTTCTTGCTTCACTGTTATTTGCATGTTTTTGGCTTTTTTGCTCCTCACCCAGTGTATCAGAGATGATCTCATCTTAAACATTCAGCAACCCTAAGATTATTATAAAAAAAAAAAAGTCATCTGAGAGTCAGGCAATTTCAGGGCTGAATTCATCTTTATATGGATTCGTGATGTGTCCCCCTCCTGCCCAGGACTGAGTGCATGGCACATGTTTGTCAGTTACAGTTCTTCCACCTAGAATCACAGATTAGTACTGCTCTCCAGTTCGGTGAATTTTTAAGCAGGTGAATAACCACATTTGGGGAGTTTTGATGATAACCTCAATCTTTAGCAACAGATAAGATATGCATATTACACGAAAGATCAGTTGAGCAGTTAGAGAGTAAGGACACTTTGATTATACCAATTGCTCAGTCATGTTTTAAAAACAATAAACAAAGGACCGGGTGTGTAAGTTTATTTCACCTGTTAAAAAGTAACAAAAAATACAGTTTAGGCTACATTACGGGAAGTATGGCATCCAGGTTAGGAAGGGTAATAGCTCCTATCTGTACAAGTCAGTTTTTATTGTTTCGTGCACCTCTTTTATGCCAGGAACTAAACCAGGCACTTGAATACACAACTGACACCACAATCTCCTTTACAGTAGAATTTCAAGTAAATAGTAGATTTTATGAAAACCCAGAAGAAGAGCATAAATGCTAGAGACACAAAGAACAGAAGCTCTAGAGCCTGTAGGACCTTGTATAAATTATTTAACCTCACTCTGTCTTAATTTCTTCATGGGTAAAATGGAGTCAGTAAAAATATACTTCACACTTTTGTCTTAAGCAGTAATGAGATGATGTATATGTGGAAAGCCTCTGGAACACACTTTGGCACATAGTCATGGCTCAGAAAATAGCTTGGAGTGCTATTTTGAAATGCTGAAAGGTAGGAGTTGTCTCAGTAGAAAGAGACTTCCCACCAGAAGGAATTGTGTGCCCCAGAGTTGGAGTGGTTGACCTGGGTGGGGCCTTTCTGGAACTGCAGGGAATTTAATCTGATTGGAGTGGAAGGTGCATGTGGAAGGAGTAGCTAAGCACGAAGCTTCCTAGGGAGGCCGAGATCTCCAGGCGGGAGCTTTTGTGCCATGTTAAGGAGTGTGAAAGGCATTTAGAAAATGTTACGGAACCTCAGAAATGCCTTAGATAGGGAGTGTCCACAACAGTTTCATCAGTGGAAAGACTGGTTCTTCACGGATGTGCAGATACGCCAGGAAAGCCATTTGAGGTAGGATAGCCAGTCGGGGAAGTGGTGCTCAACCCTGGCTTCACCTAGGAGCTTCCTGGAGAACTTTCACAGTCTGATGCCCAGGTTGACTCCAATTATATCAGCAGCCTGGGGGTGAGACCCAGACATTGGCGGTTTTTTATTGCTTCCCAGATAATTTCACTGCACAGCCAGGGCTGTGAACGTCTATATTAGAGAAGTAACTGCATTCAAATGAAATTTGATAAAGTTCCAAATTAAACAAATGCCGGCAACATAAAGGAGCCAGGGTAAGGAGATAACAAGTAGGATGTGGTGGTTGGTTGAATGAGGAGGGCGTTGATGGTTTCTGATTTGGGTAGCTGGTGCGTGATGATCTATACCAAGAAGGAGAAGCAGATTTGGGTACTGGTCCTTGCTGAGTGGGCATGAAAAGGGTAAGGAATTTGATTTTTTTTAAGCTTTTTATTTTTGTATTGGAGTACAGTCGATTAACAGTGTTGTGATAGTTTCAGGTGGACAGCAGGGGGACTCGGCCGTACATACACATTTATCTATTTCTCCCCCAAACTCCTCTCCCCTCCAGGCTGCCACATAACACTGAGCAGCGTCCGTGCACAGGACAGTAGGACCTGTTGGCTCCCCATTTTAAATGTAGCAGTGTGTACATATCCATCTTCAGCTCCCTAAGTATCCCGTCCCCCAGTCCTCCCCCCAGCCCCCCAACCCCTGCAACCATAAGTTTGTTCTCTGGGTCTGTGACTCTGGTTTGTAAATAAGTTCATTTGTATTGTTTCTTTTTAGATTCTGCATAGAAGAGATGTCATATGATTAAAGAATTTGATTTTGAAATGTAGAATTTGAAGGAAATGATATAAGAAACAAGGGGAAGGAGCCAGTAATATACTTGAAAACTCAGAAGACAGAGGAAATGATTGATGTGAGAGTTCCCTGAGAAGACAGGAAGTACAGAGCAGACATGAAAGAAGTAATTTATATGAGAATCTTCCTCTCTGAGAGAAATAAGTAAAAAAATTTGAGGGTGCAAGTAAGCTCACAGGCTGAGGAAGAGGAGCCGTAATTCAGGCTCATGACCTGAGCTCCTTACTGCAGGAGATCTGCTGAGAACTAGGAGATGAGAGCAGGGCTTCAGGAGTTGGGCAGGCTTTGTGGAAGCTAACAAAGGGCCATCTGAGGATGATGTCTTTCTGGTCCTACTCTTAAATGTTGATTTTTTTTCCCAGAGTTTCAGTGTTGACCCTCTTTCACACACTTCCTGTGTGATCTCATTTGTTATGTTGGATTCCACTGTTACCTTCTGAGAGAAATATTGATAAACTGAAGTTTGTCCAGAAAAGTTATGTATTAACAGTTGACACATTCAGAAAATTATTGGTCGGCTTTTCCTTTGGAGGGATAGCATTTTGCTACCTTAATTTGAAATTTAGTTTGTTGAGATCACTTGAAGACACTGTAAAGATCCCAGTAGTTTCCACCATCAGTAATTTGGTAGCATTATATTTGTTTTTCCAGTATAACAAAAATTTCAAAAACTGGCTAACTCAACATTTTGAAACCATGTTAACTTTTAATATTAAAATTTTGTTTTATACTATAAAACTTTTTAATAGATATTTATTTTATGTCATGTTATACTTCATCTCTTTGTTGCTGTGTTCTGTCATTTATAATCAAGATCTAACTGGGATTCTCAACTGTGATATAAACTATGATTTACCTTATGTACTCATAAATATTTTTTCCTCTAGAAAACCAACTGAAGGTTTAGTGATTATCAGATAGACTGAACTATGTATTTTGCAAATTTATTTTGCTAGTTCTCACTACAACAAAGCAGTAGTGTGACTTTTCTATGTGCCTTCTTGTTCATAACTTGATAAATTACTTAAGCACAAATGTGGGCTTCTTAGCTGGCTCGGTGGTAAAGAATCCGCCTGCCAGTACGGGAGACACAGGTTCAGTCCCTGAGTTGGGAAGATCCGCTGGAGAAGGAAATGACAATCCACTCCAGTGTTGCCTGAAAAATCCCATAGACAGGGCAACCTGGTGGGTTGCAGTCCATGGGGTAGCAAAAGAGTGAGAAATGACTTAGCAACTAAACAACAATAAAGCACAGATGTATAGCCTGATAGAAGGTGGCCTTGACATTGCAGAACATTAACCCAGTGCTCTAATATCATTTCAGGTAACGTTTCGTTTGTTGCATTTCCAGTTTCCAGCACCAGCTCACCAACAAAGATTTTACCAAAAACCTTAGGACCAATAAATGTGAATGTTGGACCCCAAATGGTAAGAAATCATCATATTTTAGGATTTGAAACGTTGCTTAGTTTATCCTAATTTAAAGGATAGCACTAAAGATACTTGGTGAAATACTCCAGTGAATGAATACCTTATCTCAGTCACTTAATTTTTAAGGTTTTATTTTTAGCTGAGTCTAACTGGTTAGTCTTAAGAAAAAGACATTGTGCTCATCAGTGTTTAATTTTCATGTATTTTTGATTCTAAATGTGTTATATTAAGTTTTTTGCCCCTCTGCGAGGCTTCTCTTGTTTTCAGTTGTTTGAGCCAGTTGATTTGAAATCTGTTATGTCTTATGTTCTTCTCCTTTTTCTTTTAAAATAACCTTTACTGCATTAAACTATATACTTTAATATAAACTGATTATGACCCAACAGTTAATCTGTATCTGGAGTTACTAATTTGAAAAACTCTTTGATGAAAGGACATTTAGGAAGAAACAACTCACCAACTCATTTCAATCTTTAGCAGTAGAAATAGTGAATTTAAATGGAAAATATTTAACCATTTCTCTGAAGGTATTCCATTAATTATGCTAGAGCTTAAAGTAGACAGTGCTTTTAAGACAGACTTATTTATAAACAGTCACATCCAACTAATGTATTGATAAAAACTATACCTAATTTAAATGGCCTCACCCACCATTAGCAAAAGTACGTAAACATTTGAACAATAATTCTTCTTTGTCAGTACTTCCATCTTCTTATCTCTAGAGCCATAAGCATAAATTTTGTTCATAATATATGGTACTGTAGGCTATGCTAAATGCACAATTACTTAGATAAAAATCTCTTTTAACATACTGAATGGCTTCAGAAAGTCTTTGAGATCTTAAGACATACTAGACATAACATTTTTCTTGATCTCTTGAGGACTGTTAATCATCTGTAGAATCCAAGCTAAAGATGTTGCCCAGTTCTGTAACTATGTGAAGAATGTCATCTAGCCCCAAGCTCACAGAAACTTTAGCTTAGGTGAGGAGCCACAATTCTAAGTAGTTCAGGGTATATTTTCAAACATTTGCTAAGCATTCAGCCCTCACCAGTCACTGCAGTGGGTGCAAATGAGATGACACACCTGACTTGAAAGCCGATATTTTGAAAGGTGATTCTATAAACATCAGAATTAAACAAGCGTATGTGACCTTTCATGAGTTTGTCCCTTATAGTACTCCTCTGTTTTGAAAGACTGTTTCCTCTTGGTATTTCAGTGATGCTGCTAAGGCTCAAATTTGAATTCCTCTTTTGGAAACGTGATTTTCCTTCCCACTGTCAGTTTGAACTAAAGTACATATAAGCCTTTACACACTTCAGTTTTGACAGTGATACGTACTCGTGTATATGACATACTCGATTACTGCAGACCTCAGAATCAGTGATACAAAGGTCAGAAGGAGAGGAGGTTGGGGGCTCTCCTTATGAGCCAGCCCAAGACCAGTATCCCTGATTCTCAGGTACGTTTTGCAATTCTGGGTCCTCAGGCAGGAATCAGAGTTTTCTTTTTAATTTCCTAGTTTATTGTAGTTTGACTTCTTAATATAGTGTAGAGCCCCAGTAAGAACCATTTCTCTCTCTTCTTGTTTGTCTCTTTTGTATGTTGTCCCCTAATTTTCAATCTCTTATCCATGGTTTTTAAAACAATTTTATTAGAAAATTCTTAAGTAAAACTTCACCTGTTTGCCTCATACTTGCTCTTAAAATTTTTACATATCTCTTTGGAAACTAGATGTTCATGTTAGAGAGAAATTTCAAAAGTTCTCAAGAAAAAATTTATTTTCCGTGTTGATAGAAACTAGTTTAGAAGTAACTGTGACTTGGGATTCTTACTGTCTTCTTAAAGGCACCTGGTTTTATATATATATACACACATGCACAGACACACATATATTTATGTAAGATAATCTCATGATCATTTTAACATGGTTAAAAACTGCATGTCTCTTACAATGAAAATTTTGTGAAATAATGAAACCCTTAAATATAACACTTTCTATTTAAATAGATTCCTTATAGTTTATAGTTATAGATTCTTTCCTTTCAGAATATACATGCTCTCTTGGCATTTCTTACTGTAGGTGGCAGTAGTAGCACATAGGATATCTTGATTGAAGGTAGAAAATTTTCAGACTGAGGTTCAGTTGCTATATGACGTTCATAGGCTAAGTGTAAATGTTCATTTCCCTTATCAGATCAATTGAATATTATTCTAATTTGGGGCTTCAAAATTAAGGTTCCATTTTATAAAGCATGTGTGACTTATCACCTGCATGAACTGATTTTCCTGTGTTCATTGGCTGGTCAAGTTCTGCTGACTTCTGTTTGGTTTTAAGGTTCACTGTCACTGTTCTGGTTTAAGAACTTACTACATCTCACAAGAACTTCTAATTTATGGATCCAGTTCAAGTCTACCTTCCTTCCAGTTTCTTTGTTCATGAAATGTTTGTTAAAGACTTGCTTGCTAAGAGGAAGGAACAGAGTATTGCTAATCACTCTCAGATCAGAAAAGAATAGCAGCTCACAGCCTGACATTGAGGAAGAAAAGATGAACTGAAATATAACAACTTAGTCCAAAGTCATTCTCAATCAAGATAACCAGCTTTTCTGTGTCCTATTTCCCTTCCTCCTTTCTTCTTCTTCTTCTTTTTGTTTTTTCCTACAAAGCCCTTAAAATTAGGTAGAACTGAGCCTGTAGAGTCCTAAAGAAAAAAACTCCATTGTTTTTTCAGATTGCACAAGTAATGCAGTCTGTTTCAGGGTAAGTCGGAATACTTAGAATTGCTTTGTGGAGACTCCTGTTCTAGGAATACAGTAGACCAGGGGCTGATCAAATACTCAGACTTTATTTCTCAAGCACTCATGCTCCGGGTCAGCATAATAAAGAACAGAATGTATGATGCAGTGATTGGTGAGAACTACACCCTTTATATTGTATTTTCTTACTGGATTTTATATAATCCTTTCTAGCATATCAATGAAGAAAGAAGCTACTTTTTTTCATCATTTTAAAAGCTGGGTCTTCTGTCTCAGTTCAGTAAATGTTTACTGATTCTTTCCTATGAGTGTCTCCTAGCACTGTGGTAGGCCCTGCAAACACCCTCTACCTTTAAGGATCCTGCATTGAGATGGAGGTGAGAAGTATGGTGGTATGGAAAATGTGGAAGGCTTGGAGGTACAATCGCCTTGTCTAGTGTTCCTTTTTTCTCATGAGGCAAATTTCTGAATGCTCTGTTTAATAATCCTTGGCATATTATGAGGATCAGAATTCCCCAGCTATCTGTCAGTATTTGTTGTGTTTTGTTTGACTATAGAATTAATAAAATAGTTTCCTAATCATTTGTATGTAGTAACATCTCCCCAGACCCACTAATACTCCCATTCCCTGGAGCATGCCTTTATTTTATTTACTGTTTTGTGTTTGTGTGTGTGTGAAAATAGGGTTTTAGTAAAGTCTTTAATCTTAGTTCTATTCATTCCCTTTCTGGAATCTGTCCATAGAAAATTAAAGCCAAGATAATTTTACAGAAAGGTTTATCACAGCATTATTTATAATATTGAATATTTGTAAAAATCTAATAATAAGGCATAATTAATCCATATAACAGAATGTTTTATGGTCTTTAAAATGTGTTTGAAGAATATTTAATGATATGAGGAAATGCTCTTTAAAAAAAGAAACAGATAAAACTGCATCTATATAAGAATCCAAATTGTGTAATGTCTTTGCATATGTTTTGGACTGTGAAAATCTAATTTGCTGCTATCCCAGTTCTAGTTAATCAAGTTCAACTAAAATTAGTTTCCATAATTCTTAAGCAAGGTTTTTGTTTCTCTGATTTTTAAAATGCTGTCAGTCGCCAGCTTAATCCTTCCCAATTGCTGTTCACTTGCTGAAATCCACAGGGTACTTTGTATCAGTGTTGATACTTGTGCTTCAAGATCTTAGAATATACAGTGGGTCAAAGGTATTGCTTATATTTTAGATGATTGATATTAAGGACATTTTAGATAATAAGATTTCCTCCTTATAAAATTATTTCCTGCCTGTAGGCTTACCTTAACAACTAAGAATATTTTTCTGTGTTTTGACTTTACAGATTATAAGCACACCACAGAGACTAACCAGTTCAGGAAGTGTTCTGATTGGGAGTCCATATACCCCGGCACCAGCAATGGTTACTCAGACACACATAGCAGAAGCCACTGGCTGGGTCCCAGGGTAAGAGTACTACTGCAAGTTACTGTTTTTAAAAACTTTTTTTTTTAAGTTCTGATCTTTTTTTGCTTACTGTCTTATCTTCTGTTCTTTTTTTATGGTTTTAAAAACTAGTATGTTTCCTTTAAGATCACCTGTTTATTTCATTTTATGTCCTAGGTATAAAATGGGCATCCAGGATATATCCTCTGGATCTTGGTTCCCTAACTAAGGGATTAGGATCCCTAATCCTAACTAGGGATTGAACCCTTGTCCTCTACAGTGGAAGCATAGAGTCTTAACCACTGAACCACCAGGGAATTCCCTGGAACAACCATTTTAAACAGAAAAATAAAACAATAACTTATAACTGAAACTTCTTTCTTCAGCTCTGAAAGAAGTCTGCTTTTTATGATTTTGACTTTTAGCTACTTTGGAGATGTAAAAACTGCATTTTATATTGTTTTAACAACATAAGAAAGGAGTTATGTATATGTGTGTGTGTGCTTAGATTTTCCCTTTGAAACTAGCATTTTTGTTTCATTTAAAACCAGAAAAAGAACTAGGGAAAAAAAGAGACCAAAATATATTAAAAGTTTCATTGAGTTTTATCTTGGACACTAGGCTATTAAATCAGTATCCCTTCTTCGTTACTCATTTGCCACTTTTAATATCAAATCTCTGCATGTTCCATCTTTACCTGTGAAATAACCTTATTCAACCTTTCTCCCTTCCTTATCATTTTATCATCTCATCCCTCCATAAAAGGAAATAGTAAAATAAGTGACTGAAAATTTTATTTTGTTCCTTTAGAAATTATTTCCAAAATGGCATACCACAATGATGGTTCTGTCATTGACTTATAGTTTTGAGTTCTAATAAGCAAACAGTAAATCTTGGTTCAATAAGAATCTCCTTGCTTCAAGGATATTAAAGAAATGAATGAAATAACAATCCTGGCAAAGTCCTTTAAGTTACACACACACACACACACACACACACACACGTTAGAGACAAAAGAGTTTTGTGTGTGTGTGTGCTTAGTCATGTCTGACTCTTTGTGACCCTGTGGACTGTAGCCTGCCAGGCTCTTCTGTCCATGGAATTCTCTAGAATTCAAGAATACGGGAGTGGGTTGCCATTTCCTTCTCCAGGGGATATTCGTCTCCCAGGGACTGAACCTGTGTCTCCTGCAGGAAAGCCCTTCTCATTTATAAATCTGCAGTATTTCTTCCTAGAGATTCGTTGAGCTCATTTCAAACCTATGACTGTTGTGATTTCTTGGGTCCAGTGACAAAATTTAAGTTCTGATTTTATGTACATATCTTTTGTAATTGTTAGTTTTGTGTTTGGATATATATTCAAAGTGGAATTAGATAAGTTAAAGTAAATTATTCATGAAGTAAAGTTCCTTATGCATTTTCATGTTTTTTTTTTTTCTTTTCAGTGATAGAAAACGGGCTAGAGAATTTATAGACTCTGATTTTTCAGAAAGGTGAGTAAAAGTTTTAAGTAATTTGTTCAAGAGATTCTACTGCATAGAGAGGGGTTTAATACCCAGACTCTTAAGTAATGAGATGTTTTCTTCATATAACTCTAAGTTCGTTAAGTTTCAACTTATTTCGTTCCTCATTGAGTATTCTGCTTCACTCATCATTGCATAAATGTGTTATGTTTATGCAGTTTCAAAAGATACTGTTCTGTGGGTAGACGGGCTCTTGGCAGCATGCTGTTTAGTGCACTCCCTCCTTTGGGGAGATGAAGTGTTCTGCTAACGTGACTATTCTTGATTACCTCAAAATACACAAACTTTAAAAACAAATTTTATTGAACACATTTAAAGATGATGGTAAATCCTCACTTGTTTTTTTTTTTTAACCTTCCAGTTCTGTTGAGATATAATTAACATACAGCCCTGTATAAGTTTAAGGTAATACAGCACAATAATTTGATTTGTTAATATATACATCATGAAGCAGTTATCACAGTAAGTTTAGTGAACCATCTCATATAGATATAAAATAAAAGAAGTAAGTAAAAACTTTTCTTGTGACAAGAACTCTTAGGATTTACTCTCTTAACAACTTTCATATATAACATACAGGGCTTCCCAGGTGGTGCAGTTGGTCAAGGACCCACCTGCCAGTGTAGGAGACACACAAAATGAGGGTTTGATCCCTGGGTTGGGAAGATCCCCTGGAGGAGGAAGTGGCCTCCCACTCCAATACTCTTACCTGGAAAACCCCATGGATTGAAGAGCCTGGTGGGCTACAGTCCATGGGATCACTAAGAGTTGGACACGACTGAGTGCACATGCGCACATACACATAGAAAATACAGTAGTGTTAATTTACCATGTTGTACATTACATCTCCTTTCTTAAATAATACAAGTGTAGTATAATCTTTCCTTAGACTGTTAGGACAGTGATTCTCAGTTCTAGGTGTGCAGCAGAATCACGTTTGGTCTGTTGAATAAGCTATAATTGCTTACTAAATCAGAAACTCCAGGATTGAAAACTTATCACTTTAGGATCATTATAACTCCATATTTCACCCAAGTCACTATACTAAGCATCATATTAATGTCACATTAAACTAAAATAAAACATAATCTCAGAGGCTATTTAGATAAAACCTTGCCAGCAACACTTTCTAGATTGATTCTGAGTTTTTTTAATTGCTTTTTTTCAACAATGTTTTAGTCTCCTCCTGTTAGGTCGTCTGCTTTCAACACAGTTTTCTGTCTTTTCCAGTTTCTAGTTGCTACCTCTGATTTGCTGTACACTGAGAAACTACTTGGCCAAATGCGTTAGAATCCCATCTAAAATAAAAGTGAATGGGCCCCAAGTGAAGACCTTGAGGCTGTATTAAAAAATGTTTGTTTTCTTGCATGACACTAGTCCTGCTTTAGTTCCTTGGTGACCTTTGTTGTTGTTCTCAGATCTTAACTCCTTTGAACAGATAAAATCATATCTGAGAAGCTGCTGTATTACATAGAACTAAATGGTGAGATGGTCTTTTCTCTCCAATGGGAATTCATTTTTCCAGCTCATACTGTTTCTTCCTCATGTTTATACTGGGAAAAGGCAGCAGTACAACTTTTTAACCATGTATTTGGCAGTGTGTACGGCCCTAAAATGGAACTGTTCACTTGTTATGATTGACATCACCTGTGTATGCAAAAATACAAAAAAGCAAGATTATTTTTATTCTTCATAAGAGAGAAAATTCTAAAGATAGCATATAGAAGTGCCAGATCAGGTTTGTTGGTATAGCCTTTGACTTGACTTTGCTTTTCCGCATTTGCTTCATTGACCTTTTTTCCTAGTGCTTTCTGTTACTCTCTTTTTATTCTTTAATATAACTTTTCTGTATTGAATCCCATCCCGCTCCCTAACCAAACCACCAGAATGACTACATGTGGTTTTCTTCTTGTGTTGTTGTTCTTACACATGTTCTTTTCCTCCAGATTAATGTGTTTTTCTATAATGCTGTAAAAAGTCTTGGGTTCCCTTTTCCCCAGTGCTAAGGTTCAAAAAGCCAGCTCTCAACCACAAACTACTCTTCTTAACTTCTTCATTGTCTCTTTAGTGATTTAATATCTCTATAGTGATTAAATATAATAAGTATTTTTGTTAGTGTTCCTTGGGGACATAGATTTATATACATAATACACATGCATACTCCCACATAGATGTATACTGTATAAGGTTTTTGTCCTCATTTGACAACTTGACAGTACAACTTGAAGTGTGTTTTACACAGCTCTTCCTTTGCTGAGCTCCTTTGCAAGACCAAGTCACTTTCTGAAGAAATTTTGTTGGTGTGTAAAGGATCCATTGAGGGATTCTCGTTAGTTTATTCTTTGTGTTCTGATCCACTGAACTTCTTTGGAAAGAGATTGTGGAAATTGCTTTGAAAGCCCCCTTTCTGGTCTCGCCTGGAGTTTTGATCCTGAAAGATGTTTGTTCCCTTTTGTCTTTTTTCGTTTGGACAGTCTGGTGGTGTCTTACAAATGCATCTCTTCCAAATGGGAAGTATCCTGTTTGAGAGTTCCCTTGGGGGAGGAAAGGTCCTGGGTGCCTGACAGGCAGCGGCAATAGCCTCTATGTGTTTTACTTTATTCCTGTCTTAAAAGACAGGATTTAGCACAGTGGTGTTTTTCTCTTCCTTTGTGCTCATGTACTCTTCATATATATTTTTTTTATTCTGTTGGAATATAGTTAAAACTTTTATTTACAATAAACTAATACAATTTAAACTATAATAAGCTAATAATAAAAATCAATATAATTAATATCTGTACTGCTTTGATGATGTTTATGAAGTTGTCTATTTATTCAACAAGTGTTTTGAATATCTGCTAAGTGTTGGTAAGTTCTAGGCATGGATGAGAATAATAAGCAAGATAGATAAGTCTCTACCCTTGAAGAGCTTATATTTGGGGAGGGGGTGCAATAAAGAAGTAAGATAACTAGATTGTGATAGGTGGTATGCAAAAAAACTAAGAAGGATGATTTGTAGATAATTGGAAGGATGGTGACTACCTTAGAAAGGTCTCTCTAAGGGGTGATGTTTGAATACAAGGAAGACTGGCTAGTTCCTTGAGGAGCTTGGGGTTCTAGGCATAGGGAATGGCAAATGCGGTGCTCCTAAGTGAGGAACCGGGTTGTGACACTCAGGGAAGCACAGTGGCTTGGAGATCACGAGCAAGTCAGAGAGACATGAGATGAGGATGGAGAGGTAGGTACAGGTCAGCGTATGAAAGACCTTGTAAGTCATGGTAGAGAATTTGGCTTTTATTCTAAACAGTATTTTAAGCAGGGAAGTAATGTGATCTGATTTATACTGACTGCTGAGAGGGATCTGGACTCTAAGGAGATAAGAGCAAAAGTGGAGAAATCAGTTAGAAGGCAGGAGGCAGTGACCTGACAGTGGAGATGGGGAAAAAATGGGTAAATTTTGGAATTTGGAAACAGAATTTATTGATGGATTGAATGAAGGAAAGAGAGAAATAAAGGATGACTTTGTTTTTTGCAGTAAGAACTGGGTGAATACTGGTACCATTAGCATTTAGGAATAGGTTTAGGAATAGGAATAGGAATAATAATAGGAATAGTTAGGAATAGGTTTGGGGAGGAATTGAGTTTTGTTCTGGACACATGAAGTTTGAGAGGTTTTTCAGTTTTCTATGTGATGTATCACTAGTATCAGTTAGTGTATCAATAGTATCCTCAGCTTGGATGAGGCCAGCCCAGGCCTGGATGACATAATGCAAGGTAGAGAAAGTGAAGATCTGTAAATAATAAACATTTCTTTCCCATTTCCCCTCTCCCTCACACAGTGGATATAAATAGATAGGAAAATGGGATTTGGGTTGGATTTTTTTCCCCTAAATTATGTTACTAAATTACTTTGTTGATTTAAATATTCTGGTTAACTTACTTTAATGAGAAAGGAAGTTTTTATTGTGTATTGTATATAATCTCTTGTTTAAATGGGATACACTTATTAGTGTACACCTGGAATATACTGTTATACTACAGATTTTAGTTTTACATTACTTTTGTAAATAAATATAAATTATTATGGCAAAATATAAAAAGACAGTGATTGTTGATTCTAGTTAAGTGTCTGGAAAGATTAATACTCTTGGAAACAGTTCTTTTAAATACTTCAAATGAAATGTGAGTATGAAATTATGAAGACCTCAAATAAAATAAAATATAACTTGCTTTTCAGACTGCTAGATTGATAATTTTATTTTCTTAAATATTAAAAACATTTTAAATTTGGTAATTTGGTTTTATTTGACAAGGAATGCTTCCTACTGGTTCTTTTTTTTTTTTAAGAGACTAATAGAGATGACAGTGTTTACGGCCTGTGACCAAATTTTCATGTTATTTGGAAAGAAGGTTTGGGTGATTCAAAGAGCTCAGGTTTGAGAAAATATGTAAACTCTACTTTTTGAGATTTCGAGGGAATTCCCTGGTGGCCCAGCAGTTGGGGCTGTGTGCTCTCACTGTCAAGGGCCCAGGTGTGATCTTTGGTTGGAAACTAAAATCTCAAAAGCTATTCAGCACAACCAAAAGTAAATAAATAAAACTGGCCCACTTAAAAAAAATTTTTAGATAGGGAGCTTCCAGTTTGAGATGATGGATTGAATAACCATTTTTAATCTCCGTCTCGTAAGATCCTATTGAAATTTTTTGTGTATTAAAAAAAAAAGGAAATCTCTTAAATTGCCGTAAAACATGATAGAGATGTAGGTTTCTCCAAGGATTAGGAGATGAAGGCTGGTGTGATTATAAAGATGACAAGTGAAAGTGGACAAACCCATGTCCCAAAATACACATAGGAGAAGTCAGATAGGGAAACGGAAGCTTTTTTCACTTGCACTGACGTGGTGAAGTCCCAGGCCCAGAGTTGAGAGGTCTAAAAAGTGAGAATAAATTGGTGGGGGAAGGACTGAGGACAATGAATTGACACCTAT